AAATAATTAAGTAATAAGTTAGACTTTAAGAAGCTTAAACTATTTAAGATTAATAAGAAGATATCTAATATTAACTTTAAATTTATACTACTAAATATTATAAAATACTATTTAATCTTTTATATTTTACTCTTTAAATAAGTACTAAAAGGATTAGAAATATAAAACTATATTAAAGTTAATTTAGAATAAAACTATAAGGTTAAATAAATTATTAACTATATCTAGAAATAAGATAATATTTAATACCTTATTAAATAGAAGGGATATAGATATAAAGATAATATATAAAAACTAATAAAGAATATTAATAATATATAAGATATTCTAAAATAATACTAAATATATTAATAAATTTAGAAAAACTAGACTCCTATTAATCTATTAACTCTAACCTAAAAAAAGGACTATAAAAACTATAGATACTATAACTATATATTTAGGCACTAGTAGAATCTAATAGACCTAAATAAAGCTAACTATTTATTTAGCTTAGGACCCTAATAGAAAATTAGGAGTACTAGGGTTTTAATTACTTATTACTATAGCTTAGTTAGTTATATCTACTATACTATTTAACTATACTATTAATACTAAAGTAGAAGAAGACTTAACTATAGAGGTACTAACTTCCTCCTCCTTTCCTATTAAGCAACCTTACTTAAAGATACTCCTTTTTAATTTATAAATATAATCTAACTTTATAAGTAACTTATCTATTTTAGCTTAAGCCTTCTTTAGAGCTTTAAACTATTTTTATAATACCTCTACTTTCTTCTATAGAACTATTTCTATAGCTTCCTCTTTATCCTCTAAATAACTTACCTTATTTAGTAAATAATCTATTAAAAGAAATTATTAGCTATATATAAGAGAAGCTCTATACCTAACTTATATTTATAAATAGTATTCTAAGAAGTATTATATAGCTTTTTAGCTTTTATATAAGTACTATATACCTCTATTCCTTAAACCATTTTATAATAGAGGCCTTAAGTATAATAGTAAGTATAAGATATAACTTTAATCCTAAGTTTAGTAATTTATAGAGTATAATAATAATAATAATAATATAGAGTAAATAATAATACTAAATTAGGTTTCTATTATAGTATTAGTATTTAAAAGAAATAATAAAATTTTATAACCTAACTAGGAGCTAATACTTATTTATATAGGTCTAAGGGATTAAACTTTTAGAGGGGAGACCTAATATTATAACTTATAAAGTATAACTAATAAAGAATACCCTATATAGATATTAAATAGTTAGAATATTACCTTTATATATAGAATTATAAAAATATAAAGAACTTACTTAAAATAAAAGAACTATAGTATAAGTTATATAGAGATAAAATAAAGTAATTACTCTATATATATAAAAGTAATTAATAATTAATTATTAATCTATTAGTAATTAATAATTATTTTATTAAAAAGTAGTAATTATTTAAAATAAAGGGAATTATTTAAAATAATTTAAGACTTATATATAAAATAAACTTAAGTCTATTTAAGATTAAACTTCTATATCTTTTTAGTAATTAACTTATAATTCTTACTTAAGACTTTTAGCTATATCTAAATAATAATTACTTTATAACTCTTATTAAGGACTTAATTAATTATTAAGCCCTTTTAAAGACTTATAATTACTTAATTGGACCTATAGAATAACTTAATACTATTTACTATTATTAATCCCTAACTTACTACTAATATAAACCCACTATTAGTTAGCTAGCTATAACATTGGGATTAAGACGATCTATAGTGGTATGGAACGCGTCCCACAGCTGACGTTGTTCCTCGGGGGTGCCGCCATACCACGACGCCATATCAGCAACAGGGTCAGGAAACCACTGAGGAGTCATTGCCGCGAGCCAAAGCGGTGCAGTGGTGGTGCCTTCAAAGTCAATGAATCCGTTCACCTTACCGGTGCCTGGATCGATCTGAGAGGATATAAGCATTAGCGGCGATAATCTCGGTATCAAGGGACAAGAGGTCGAGGGTGAGGAAATGGAAAGAGTATGAGGGAACCAGAGCACGAGAAAAAGGGGGCAACCGTAAACGGCAGAGCATGGGGCTTACAAGTTTATTAGTAAGTCGAAAATCGTCCACGGTCAACTTGAATGGCCTGTCTGGTGTCGAGGGTCCTCCAGGGTAGATGTGTGCATCGACAGGGTATATGTTACACAGTCGAATGCCCTTTCCTAGTGCTCGCTGCGCTCTCGTCACAATCTCGCGTTTTTGTTCGCGGAGCGACTCGATCGGGATTTCTTGGTCGCCGCCTGTTGCCTGTTCGTCTGTGATTAGCTGTTCTACTGTCGCCTCCGGAAAATCCGTGGTTTTTAGCAGAAGGGCGCGCGGGGAATGAGCCAAGAATTCCCCAGTCTTCGTGAATGGGCCCCTGAGGGAGTGAAGCCGCGTGAATGCTGGCGACGAAGGCGTGTGTAGATCCGTGCCAGGGTAGTCGACGATACCATCGAGGGAACGGTAAAAATGGCTCGAAACAACAGGTCCAACTGCATAAATATAATTGACCTGTGAAGACGATGATGGAGAGATCGTGATGCCCGAAGATGGAAACGATTCGCGATACAAAGAGCCGGCCTTCTCGAATCGCAGAGCGAAAAGGGCAGCAAGGTGCTCTGCTACCTGGACCACCACCTTCTCTTTTATCTCGACTGCTGACGTCGACCATTGATCTGAAGCAGCCTCGCCAGGAATCTATCGCGAGGAAGAAGTCGTCAGATATCAGTCTACTGCGTCACACGACCAAGGAGATGCATACTTTCTCCAGTATCATATACTCAGCACCTACAGGGTTCGTGGCGTCAACATCCCATGCTAGAACCGCTGGCATGGGCACAGAGGTATAATTAGCAATGTATTACAGCGTGGCAATCTGGATGTTTACTGTTAGCTCTACTAAAGATGGCTAAAGCTCGGCTTGGATTTACCTCTGACTGCAACTTATCGCAGGGGAAAGCAGATGATGCTACTCGAGCAACGGCAGACAAGCTCTCGCCTCTGCTCGCCTCTTGAATGTCGTACACCTAATGTTACTATTGAATCAGCAATCCGTAATTCTACATATACAAATTGTGGCAGAAGTACACCGACCTCGTGATAACCGCCCCCTGCTATCTTGACCAGCTTGCAGGGGACGCCGAAATGGGTCGACACGGCGACGGTAAGACGGCTGAGGTTGAACTTTTCAGTGCAGCCATCTTCGAACTCCCAGACGGATATGACGTCCCTGTTTGGATCAATCGTATTCACCTTATCTATGCTCATTGTTCCAAGTATCTCTAGATGTCAAGGGAAGATGGGAACAAAGTCAAGGATGGAAGAGGAGTGAAGTGCTCCTAGATTAAGGAGGTGATTCAGCAGCATATTATTTATTAAGCAGCAGTTAGATAGGCAGGGGTAATTATATATATATTAATAAGTATAATAAATAAATAACTATAGAAAGAAACCCTATATCTATATAATAAGTATATAATCCCTTTATAAGGATACCCTTACTAGCCTTACTTATACCTCTAGTTAAGCATAAGTTAGGTCGCTTAAGGTGAAACAATTACTGTAATGAATGTGCTGGGGCAGCCTGACATCATTTATTCTGATTATATAAAGCACGAGGCAGCCCGTTGTGAGTGGAGCTCCAACAGGATCCACTCGATGGGCCCTAAGTCACCCTAACGGCAGAAGATTTAGTGGCGTGGTGCCTGTACTATGGATATGTTAGCACCACCTCCCGTCGTCCCTCATTCCAACACAGCAACCACATAATTCCCCCATCAATGTCGTTCACTTCCTCTTATCCAGGCACTAAACATATATGAACATAATTGAGCCCTAGGAATGACTCATCCGTTGTTCCTTCAATTCTTCTTCTTGGCCTCAATAGACTTCCTCACGCTTTCACACGCACTGCACGACTCGTCCGTGAGGTGCACCCATGTCTTGTGCGTGATGCTCTCGACGTCCCCATCCTGTGCCGCGGCAGTGCCCTAGCCCGAGCAGGTCATTTGGTGTTCGGTGCAGTATCCGGCGGCGGCCATGCGCCTGGTGGATTTCGAGCAGGCGGGGCAGTGGTGCTTGCTGGGCCACGCCGGCATTTTGATGGTGGCTGTGCTTGTGTGATAGAAAATATGATAATAACTTGTGGTAAGTTCAGGTGTCTCAGAGCTTGGGCAGAGTATGTGACTGTTGTATTAAGTGATTTTTTCCCAATCCGACATCAGACTCACTTGCAGCTTTATATACACATTACCGCCCCTAGTGGCTCAAGTGATGAGCTGATGCCTGCCAGAGACACGACACCACCACGAGGCTCTCGGCCTTGGAGGAGAATGTGACTTTTATATTGCATTGTATGATCTGTCTCATCCACGAATATCAAAGCCCAATGAGATCAGAACAAAAGAGCCTTTGGGTTTCCATTGGCGCTGCCAATTCTGTCTGAAATACGTTGATGACGCCATTACTAAACATCTAGACTGACCCGCAAGATTAGCCAACAGGACTAAGCAGATCGTGACCATTGCTGGATTGATCTCAGCTGGAAGCCTTGCGTGGCACGAAGTATATATGAGCATGGCCTACATATAAGGGGTCGAGCCCGTTATTGGTCAACAGTAGATAGAATCTAAATTAGAGATCTACGTTGGATTCCAGTAGGTCACAACTTTTGAAAGGCTCCTCCTCCTCCATAAATGAAGAGATGAATGCATGAATAGGTGGCTGATACGAGGAAGAAGGAGCGTCTGACTGCTTAACCGCTTGTTTCTTATTGGCTTATCAAGAGAGCGGTTAGCGCTCACAAACTGCATGAGGTAGTACGGCCCCTCTTGGCATAGATTTCTATTTGCGGAAAATATAAGAACCTAAGACGTGTGTGCATCTAGCCAAAACCAGGAGGGGTACACACATTGCCGTTAGTTAACAGAACTCAGATTTCAAAATTTCACAACCTGCAAAGATGCCTAGCTCACCTTGCTCACCAACTCACCCCAATCGCGTGATCTAAGGGCGGCGGGTGATCCGGCCGCACCTGAACGACAGAGTGGCGTTGCCCCATTGTCGTTAACCGCCTCAAGATCAGCATCCCGAGCGAGAAGAACGTCGAACAAACCCTCGGAGTAGGTTGTCATGTGCATCAGTGTTGCGCCAAATTGACCACGGAGAGAGGTTTTCGCCCCTGCCTGAATGAGAAATTTTGCCCCAGCCGGGGAATCGGATAGAGCATGGTGCAGTACGGGGTTTCCATTGTTGTTGACCGCGTTCATGTCGGCACCAGCATCCAGAAGGATCTGGATAATGTCGAGAAGCTCATGCGCGGCAGCGATGTGAAGCGGTGTGTTTCCGTAACAGTCTTTCGCTGATACGTCTGCGCCCGAGTCCACCAGGAGCTTAGCTATCTGTGTGTTTCCGAACAGAGCTACCACATGTAACGGCGTCTCGTCGTTAATGTTGCGTGCGTCGACGTCCGCTCCTGCGTCCAGAAGCAACTTGGTTGCCGCTACTCTTCTCCCAGCAGCAGCATTGTGCAAAGGCGTCACGCCATCACTTGTCGCCGCAGAAGCATTGGCACCGGCGTCGAGTAGGGCTGTGACGGCTTCTTCGCCTCCTGATTGAACGGCGAGGTGAAGCGCTGTCCAGCCCCTCACGGTGGTAACGGCAGACAGATCAGCCCCTTCGGATACGAGTGCTCGCAGGCGCTGGCTATCGCCGCTCAAAGCAGCTTGATGAAGAGGGTCGTTAGGAAAAGCCGGAGGTGCAGCTGGCTTCGCCGCACCGCAGGAGGTACAGGAAACCGCCAAGTCATCAGACATAATGACCGGATGCGAAGTGTGATGAATATCAAGATAGTACCGGTGAGAACAGTATAACAGGGAATCGTATGATAATCGTATTAATATGACAGATGTCAAGCAGAGGAAGCACGTCCCTTAAGTAGAAATAGTTGACTATCTCTTGACTCGTGGTTCTAAACTAGTGATGATCGCTATGCCTCCTACGGATGGCAGCCTGGCAACTCTTAGGCAGTAATTCAATCAGACCTGGACGACTGCTGAGATAATTGAGCCCTATTTCTCGATTCCATGTAGGCAGGCGCGTGAATAATCGCGAAAACCAGGAGACTAAAACGAAGAGGCAAGTTGTGAATAGCTGGGGACCCCTGCCTACCTACCTAGGCAGCAAGCCCAGTACGTACCCGGAATAATTACCTGACGGTCGTGCGTGAGTGATGGCAAATATCAAGACTGTTCGAGGCACTGGAAGAGTGCCGTTGCTGTGCCTTTGAATCTGGACGTTTTTTTCTCCGTAGACAGAACTTAGCCAGTCAACTTGGGCAGCAAAACATTTAATATAGTTTCCAGTGCAGATACTTCTCTCATAGTCGAAGGCCATTTGACAACAAGTAGCTGCCAAATCCTGCTGGCCTCAGTAGATGCCCAGGGCTAAGCGCATAGAGTGCAGCTGTCTTAAGGGTTGCATACAGCAGCCGCAACAGGACACTTTGGATCATTTCTACTTGACAAACTTATCTTGCGTTGTTTGGCCCTTAGTATTCAGTCAAAGCAATACCAGCGGCAGATGTTCATTATACTCGAATATGTCCCTAGCTCGTTCACAAGTCCACTCACGGACCGCTTGCGAGATCTGAAGAGAGGCAAAGGGTGCGGATACAAGAGAACCTGACAAAACTCCTGAGTGTAGAACAGTTCAGATGCAGGTAACAGTTGGTCAAGCAGTACGTGACAGACGGTACCGTCCAGAGTAGGTACTTTATAGTCGCTCTTAGAGCGTTCAGAAAAGTCACTCTACTCCTGCATGACAGCCAATGGCACTCACTAATACCAAGCGAAGCATTCGGCTACCTTCACCCGCCATTTTTCGTATTTCTTGATCATTTTCGTATAGCTTTGTCGTATTTCGTATTTGAGCGGGAAGTGGACGGCGTATATCTTTGGCTGCTCGCAATTCCGCTGGAGTATATATAAGTTCTAGGACGACACAAGATCGGAGAACAGCGGAGCGCAAACCCATGCCGCTCTGCACTCGTCGAAGATGACTGCGTTCGCCTTTCTCTGGTTGTTGGCTGTGGGAACGACAGCCAGCTACTTCAACCCTATTCTTCCGGGCTTTCATCCGGATCCAAGCTGCATATATGTCGAGGATACATTCTTTTGCGTGACATCCACTTTCACTTGGTTTCCCGGAGTTCCCTTCTACGCCAGTAAGGACCTTCGCCACTGGGAGCTCATAAGCAGCGTGCTTAACCGCCGAGAACAACTACCACAATTCGCGGATGCCCCAACCGGACAAGACGGTCTTTTTGCATCAACGATACGCCACCATAATGGTACGTTCTATGTCACGACCACCTATGTCTCGATTGCTTCCTACAAGGATTTCGTCATGGAAAACTTGATCTTCTCGACCAAGAACCCCTACAACGCTTCGTCGTGGAGCATTCCGACCAGCGTCAACTTCACCGGCTACGACCCATCACTGCTGTTCGATGATGACGGAACCGTCTACTTCACCGGGGCAGCTGCGCTCTCGACAGGAACCGCAATCGCTTTAGCCAATATCGATGTGGACACTGGTTCCCTCGGGCCCATTACTTACCCGTGGAATGGTACCGGTCTAGGCACCACCGAGGGGCCGCACGTGTACAAGAAGAACGGCTGGTACTACATCCTCGTCGCCGAAGGAGGAACCCAAGAAAAGCACCGCGGATCGATTGCGAGATCCCGGACCGTTGGCGGCCCGTACGAAAGCAACCCGGCAAACCCGATCGTCATCGCTGAGCACCTCAATTCTTCGTACTTCCAGACCGTGGGGCACGTCGACCTCTTCCAAGATGAGGAGACGGGCCTTTGGTGGGGAGTGGCTCTCGCGATGCGATCAGGGCCGGACTTCGTGTCATATCCGATGGGCAGAGAGACCGTGTTGTTTCCTGTTTCGTGGACGGATGAGGCCGGCGGGTGGCCTAGCCTGCTGGAACCTGTCAGGGGGCAGATGGACGCATCATTGCCCGGCCAGAGCGGCAATGCTAGCAGCATACCTGGTACGGGAGAGGAGCCCGATGTCGTGGACCTCGGTATCGGTTCGGAGTTGCCAGCACATTGGTTGCACATTCGTTATCCGGAGAGTGTTGCATATGTGATTTCACCTCCTGGACACCCGAACGAATTGCGACTCGGACTATCGGCAAGAAACCTCTCCTCGATAGTCACGAGCAACAGTACGATGCCCAAAACGACTACATTCTTGGGCCGTAGACAAACCGATACGCTATTCGAGTTCAGTGTTGACATCAAATTTCACCCAAAACGCCCAGCACACGAAGTCGGAGTCTCCGTTTATCTGGACGAAAAGAGACACATAGACTTCGCCATCATTTCGGGTGATGAGGCAGCGGAGGGCAAACACTTGCGTCTCCGATCATTCAGCAACAATGAAAATGTGACCCTGCCGAACGACGCCATGGTGCCGCTAGCTGGGAATCTAGGAGCAGACGCTGCTGTGCGCTTACAAGTCAGGGCTGAAAACACCACGCATTATACGTTTCTCGTAGGACAGGTTGGTAGCGGAGGCCAGGAAGGCGACGTCGACATGACATTTGTAGGGCATTCTTTGGCAAGCTTTGTGAGTGGCGGCTACACCGGCACCGTGGTCGGAGTCTACGGCACAACAAATGGTGAGCTCACAGGAGACACGCCTGTAGCATACGTCAGCCGATTGAGGTACTATGGTAAAGGGCAATACGTTGATCACAATGTATTCCTGTAAGGTAGTCACGGAAATGCAGCCATTCTTGAGAATGCTTTCATTTACATAAGCTGAGAGCCTGAGCTTCCACGGTACCCAATCATATTCATACAGCGCTACCATTCAGGGCGTCCCGAAGTCCTCAGCATTATCCCTCATCAGTTTTTATGTTTTAATTTACATAATACTAACTTACTAGATACTCCTCTAAATATATGTAGGGAGATAATGAGATGGGAAAACATGGAGTGAGCTGTAGTCAAGACTTGGCGTCCCTGTTGTTCCCAGTTGTTTGAAAATTTGCGTGGTTCACGCGTTTGGCTATTTCATTTCTGTAGATCTAGGTGCTCATACAAATAGGCCCGTGGATATAAAACCTCACAGCTCACGGTCACAGGGTACCTCAGTCAAAGTCCAGGTTAAATATTGTGAGTCAACGGCTTAAATGTATTCTAAATCGAACTCCCTTGAAAGCGTCACTCTGCCTTAGAAAACGCTAAAGACCCGGAACCACTCATGATTTGCCCCTTCATCCTGTTGGCCTTGTCCTCCAAATCCTCAGGTCCTCGCGCTTCTCGCTCAGCACCGCTCCATCCTTCCAACTCATAGAACAGCAGGGCCAAGCTGGAGCTCTTCCATGTAGGTACACCACGCGAGTAGCTCCGCCCCATGATGATGACAAGCGTGAGAGAGGACAAGATGATGATAGACACGGGAAGCGCTAGCCGCGGCCAGGCGATGTCTATGTAAGTCACGCTGCTCAACGCTTGCCCGTTGATAGCAGTACTGTTGGGGGAGGTTCTAATGACCTCCGTCATGCTATCTGCGATTTGACGCATGAGAGCTTCCACGTCGTCGACCTGGCTGAGCGCCGTGCCCAGGTTCAGAGTGCTGCGGTCTTCCGAGGTATCGAGCGCGTCGTGGGCCGTTCCCGAATAACCGGGTTTGGACATGGTGGCCGTGAAAAGCTCTTTTAGGTAGAGGGCGATGTCTTTCCAATCGCAAAAGTTGATGCGGAAAACGAGGTCGTCGGGAAGGCGATCTGATGTGGCCGCTGGCTTTAAACCCGCCAGCATCTTTTGCCCGGATCCGATCCTTGACCAAGACCTTGTGAACACGGAGTCGTTCATGGATCCGAAGAGAGATGCTTCAGGTCCCGCGAGCGGGCCGGCACTGTTATTCGCGAAAGACGGCGTTGTGAAAGACCGAGCGCAAAGGTCCAGGCTGCAATGCATGGCCTTTCGAATTGGAGGGACTTTGACACCATTACCGTCAAGGTAGTCTTTGAAGAGTATGTCCGAAGATAGTTGGATGAAGGTGAAATTACCCAAAACAGCCCTTTTCGAAAAGTTTCTGCCTGCGATCGTTGGTTTTATAGTCCAATCAGTGTCGAAGTTCGAGAACGGTTCTCCTGCGATCGAGTTCCACACAGTTGTAAGCGGCGTGAAAATCGATGCTCCCCCTTGCACGCCAAAAACTGCGTTGAGCGTCGAATTGGTATAAGGTACGCTGAAGTTACAGTCGATCTGCCTTACTGAGCTCTGTGGGTTGCGGACGCAGTTTGGGATAACCGTACGCGTCAGGTCCATACAGCTGCTGCAAACCCCAAGAGTCGTTGTTGTTAGCCATTCACACTGCTCAAATGGGCAGGGCAAAGAGGGTTTCCAGGTGGCATTCAATATAGGTGAGAGAATTGCAGCTTGCATCTTGGCATTGAGGTCCATGATACCATAACAATCTCCATATCTTAGGTCAAGCGAGGAAGGGTCGTATTCTCAGCTCTCTAGGATACTGGTAGTAACGTTTTTAATTAGCGTTAAGACGACTGGGAACTGAAAAACGGACTGGATGAACGGATCAAAAAATAGAGACGCCAGCATCAAAAGAGAGACAAAAGAAGCCATTACCATCTTTCGGTTCTTGGAGAATGCCAACGTAAGAGCGCCCCAAGGGCCACGTGACGCCCTATCGAACAGGTGAAGGTCGCTGAGCCTCTGCGGTTGACTTTCGAAGTGAAGCCACTTCAGTTGCGATATCACCTCGGTAACAACTAGGAGGCAAGAGGATTTCGCTAACGTCCCGATGAATGATACCACCACTGTGGGCGAAAGAAAAGCCTGCCCCAGTCCCCATTCGTCCAGACGTCGCCCATGTTCGTACATGAGGACGCCGACGATGGAAGCCATACAGGCCAGGCTGAAGACGGATGCAGCGGCCTCCCAAATCCAAAGCCGATAAATAAAAGATCGGATTGGGCGGTGTGAGGCGTCTTCTGAAGATCCTTTCCCCTCATTTATCTCGGTAGAAGTGACCGGCTTGTCTTGGACACGCTCGCGGCGGGTTTGGTTGTCGGTGCGAATCGAAGCTGTTGTTAGCAGCCCGTCCACGTCCAGATGATCTTCCTCGTATTCCGTGTAGTTATTCGTTGAATGACGCTCGTCGTTAGAAGGGCTATTTTGGAGGCTTGCGGATACGGCGACTGCATCGTCTGATGATACCGAATCTTCTGGAATAGCAGGTTTCGAGGAATCTGGACATGGTTTTCGGGTAGTCGAGCCGGTAGGTGTTCGCAGCCAGTCCCGGGCGTCAGAATCGGCGGGAGATCCCTCCGTTGACACCAAGTGATAGGCAGACATCGTTTAAGGTGATGCGATTGTCGAAATAAAGGTTACAGTCATCTTGTCTCAATTGGAAAATTTGACGTTGCGTCGCTAAAGTGCTGATTGATCTGTCAGCATCAGGCAGCAACATAACCTCTTTTGGAGTGATATGTGATTAAAAGACCATTACGGAGCCTTCCCCACCTGCAGTCATCGCCTTTGCCCCTTGTTCTTACTTAGGCCATTATAAGTTGCTCTATTTGTACGTGACAAATTCTTTAAGTCCAATCGCTCAAGTCTCCTGTAATACTGTGTTTGGACATTTGAGAAGTTGAGTATACTCCTTTAATAGAAAGAAACGCTGAGAAATACATTTCAAGAGTTCGAATGGTTTGTTATTTAGCAAACATCACATTGCGGGTTTAAAACATTATATACAGCATTTAGAGCCCTTAATAAGGAGGTCCACCTTATTAAGTATATAACTATATCACCCTTATAGGGTAGTATTATATAGATATATGCCCTCCTAGCTCCTCTAGACCCCTATTATCCTATATACCTATCTCCTCTATATACCTTACTAATTAGACTATTCTCTTTATATTCTTATTATTAAGTCTTTTATACTTAGTAACTAAATGTTACGACCCGTTAGGTATAACTAATAAAGAACGCCCCACTAGGATACTAGGCGGTTATAATAACACTTTTATATATAGGATTATAGGAATAGGGAGGACTCCTTGGAATAGAAGAACTATAGATAAGTTATATAACTAGGGAAGCATAAGCACTAATAAGATAAGATATAAGCTGCTTATAGTGTGGACTATAAGCGCTCACCTTAAGTAACTACTAAGTAATTACCTAATAAGTAATTAAGGTAAGAAGCTAAGAGGATAGGACTTATATATAGGATAGACTTAAGTCCACTTAAGGATAGACTTCTATAGCTCTTTAGTAATTAACTTATAATTATTACTTATAATACTTTTAGCTATACCTAAGTAATAATTACTCTATAACTCTTATTAAGGACTTAACTAATTACTAAGCCCTTTAAAGACCTATAATTACTTAATTAGACCTATAAAATAACTAATAATTATTACTATTATTATTACCTAACTTACTATTAATATAAACTATACTATTAGTTAGCTAGCTATAATACTTTAATTACTCCTATTTAGTAAGTTACCTTTTAAGAACTACTAATATGTTATAGCTAGCTAACTGATAGTAGGTTTATATTAGTAGTAAGTTAGGGATTAAAAACTATAAATAGTATTAAGTCGTTCTATAGGGCTATTTAAGTAATTATAGGTCTTTAAAGGTCTTAGTAATTAGTTAAAGCCTTAATAAGAATTATAGAGTAGTTATCACTTAGGTATAGCTAAAAGTACTAATAAGGGTAGTTATAAAGTTAATTACTAAAGAGCTATAGAAGTCTATCCTTAAGCTAGACTTAAGTCTATCCTATATATAAGTCCTAGATACTTCTCTTCCTATATAGACCGCAATCTAAGAGTTAGTCCTCCTTAAGGACTACCCTTAGTACGTTAGTCCTAATCCTTATCCTAGTCCTAAGACCGCTTATTAAAAGTTAGTCCTACTTATTATCATATAACTTATACTATAGTTCTTCTATTCCAGGCAAGCCCCTTATATTCCTATAATCCTATATATAAAGGTAATATTCTAACTGCCTAATATCCTTATAGGGCGTTCTTTATTAGTTATACCTAATAGGTTATAATATTAGGTCTCCCCTCTAAAGGTCTAATCTCTTAGACCTTATATAAGTAGGTAGTTACCCCTAGGTTAGGGAGTTATTAATTCTACTTCCTTATTTTCTATAATACTAATACTATATTAGGTTATATTTAAAAGTTAAAGTCTTAAAAGATAGAAATAAAAGATTATAAGCATTAAGCGCTTCTTAAGTTTATAGATTCTTATTCCTTATATATAGATATACCTTATACTTATTATTTTTATATAAAGGTTATATATTAATTTAGTAAGGGGTTATCTTATTACTATAAGTATATTAAGGTAAAGAAGCTATATAATAATATTTTAGTGGCTTCTATATATAGGTATTAAGACTTTTATATTTTTCTTCTTTTCTAACGTTTTTCTAGTATAAAGATTAAATACTTAATAGAAAGAGTAGGATAAAAAGGAGGAGAAGGTGGGTAAAGAGTTTATAGCTCTTTATATTTAGTTAACTTACCTTTAGGCTAAAATAGCAGCAGCAGTAAGCTATCTCTTAAGGATCTATACCATTTAGAAGCAGGTTCATAATTATTAGTCCAAGACGTTTCATTAAGGGATATAGGAGGTCAATAAGGAGGATAACATCCTTCCTATGTTGGATGCTCACAAGTGGGGTGTTATAGGGGACCTCTAGTTTATAGGTATTATAAACGACCCTTCCTAGCTGGACTTCAGAATTAGTGAGGAGTTTATGGACCTAGGCCCCCTGCTTGGGAGTACTCCCGCAGCAGCTACTAGGAGTGCTAGAGGTTCTTAATAGGTTCCTATGAGTTTTCTTTATATCTATATCCTTTCCACTTAATAAGATATTCTATATTTCTATTATTACTATAGTAGTTAATAATTTATTTAACTTTATATTCTAGTTCTAGAGGTTCTATAATAATATAGTCTTCTATATATAAACCTTATAGTGCTTTTTCAAGAAGTAAAATATAAAAGACTAAATAATACTTTATAATATCTAGTAGTATAAGTTTAAAGTTAATATTAGATACCTTCTATATGATTTTAAAAGGTCTAAGTTTCTTAAAGTCTAACTTATTACTTAGTTGTTTTATCTTAATATTTCTATAGAGAAGGTATATATTATCCCCCTCCTATAGAGTTAGTCCCTCAACTCTTAAGGTATTAGCGTATTTATGTATTTATTTATATATAAATTTAAGTTCTTTAGGTAGCCTTTACTGGATTTCCTTAAGTTTATTAATATCTACTATAGCTTTTAGAGCTGCTGGGCCCTGTTGTGGTTCTCTATAGGCTATTAGATTAAATCTATAGTTTAGATAGAATAGTGATTCTTTTATGCTTTCTCCTACTACGCTATTATAGGCAAACTGGGCCATAGGTAGCAATTACACCTAGTTGTCTTGCTAGTAGTTAATATAGCAGTATAAATAGGTTTCTATGATCTAATTGATTTATTCTATCTAGCTATTAATTTATAAATAAAAAGCAGTAGATATCTTATAATTAGATCCTAGCTATAAGATCAGTAATCTCTAAAACTTAAAAGTAAATAACTTATCTCTATTAGACATAATTTCCTTTAGCATTCCATATTAGCTAATAATTACCTATAGAAACTTATAGGTAAGGTCTTCTATAGTGCTAGACTCTATATATAGGATAAAGTATAAGTACTTTATAAGTCTATTAATAATAATAAGGATACTATTATAGTAGACTTT